TCTTCAAAAAAAAAAAATGCATTAATCTTTAATTTTTGTAACTTTCTCTATTATGATTAAAAAAAAACACAAAAAAAAAGAAAAAAAAAAAGCACATGATATAGATAGAAAAGATCAATCAAATATCAAAGATTCAAAATAAGGTATATAATAATCTCTCTTTTTACTCGACGAAAAAACTCTTTAATTCCCATATTTGTCTCTTCCCCTTGTCATCTCCCATTGCTCTTTTTAACGGGGCCGGGCAAAGAAGCGGCCGAAAAGGCGGCGATGCCGTGGTCTACGACCGCTCCCTCAAGTTCGATGTTGAGGCCCGACAACTTAACGGGCTTGCCGCCAATCAGAGCCGCATCCGGGCGCAATCGATGATTTTCGGGCTGAACGCAAGGGCGGATAGGAAATATGCGGGGAATTGAGGGAGAGATCTCTACAACCCAGTCCGAGATGCGGTGGGTGTCGAAGCTCAGGTCCAATATCGAGGCGGCGCAGAGGGGGATCCAGCGGAGAATTCGGGTCTTAATTCGGATCTTGGATTCGATTTTTCGAATCAATAGTTATCTAGTGTATATTAATATTTTATGTCTGGTATATGATCAGTTTATGTATTGTATATTTTAGGTATATGTATCGTATACAGAATCTGCAATTTTTAGCATTTTTAAGTGACACTTTTACTGCATAGTATAATAATGAGCTTAAAAACGAGTTGTATTGTTTGTTATTTTTCTGGTGGTGTATGGTTCTTAATGTATTGTATATTTTAAGTTGTTGATATGTGATCAGTATTGTTATAATCAGTTAAATAGTTTATGTTTGATATAGGATCACTTTGTGTATTGTTATCAATGTTTCGACATCGCCGAAAGCCTAAATAAAATGTTTAACACAACACATACTGAAAATATATTGTAACGCAACATATAAATAATTATGAAAAATATCCAAAACAGCATAAACAATAATCAACAAAAAAACAACAAATTGCTCTTTTGTCAATTTTCATTGTGAACAAAAAGAACTTCTAAATACACCAAATATAAACTATGAATAAACATCAAATAATTATTGAAGCAGACCGTGAAATCTTCTAATAGGTCAAATATAAACTATGGAAAAACATTAAATAAATTTTTGTTGCTAAAATAGCGCAAAACATTTTTCCAATGGAGCGCAAGATTTCTGCGCTAGATGGGAGAGATTAATAGTGTTGCGCCATATTTGACGCAACACTGTAGCACCTGCGCTACATTTTTTTATTTATGTATTTTAATGTAATATTAATGATAAATTTTTGTATAATGTGTATTAGTAAATGTATTTTTATGCTAAATAACTTTGTACAATATATTTTTTATGCTAAATATTTTTGTGTTTTTTATTTATCGATGTACTATAATTTTATTAATGATGTATTATCATTTATGGGAGGAATTTTCTAATTCAGAAGATTAGATGTAATGTTAGTGTAATCGATTACTTGTAATGGTTTTTATTTTTTTTTTCATTGTATTATGTAATTTATATTCATGCGGTTTGAATTAATGAAACAGTCTCGTGTTGTTATACATAAATATTTTTTTATTATTTGTATAATAAACATTTATATAAGATTAAGTATATATATATACCAACTTATTTGAAAGTAAAATAAATAAAACATAATTTAATTATTTGAGTAATAAACATTTATATAAGATTAAATATACATATATATATATATATATATATACCAATATATTTGAAATAAAAATGAATAAAAAATAATATATTTGATGTAGAGTAAAATGTAGAGAAAAGGGCTGGAGAAGAAACTTAATTTTTGTTTCACTCTATTTTAGAGTAGAGAAAACTCCATGCTAGAGTAGAGATACTGGTTGGAGATGGCCTAAGAGCTTACTGTTGGTGTTGTATACTGAAAGCTTGACTTTGGATGATATTACACGTGATCTTTGTTGAATCAAAATTATGTTTGATTAAATAAGTTCTATGTTCTGTTGTTTTGCACTTAGATAAAATGATTCATCATCGGGTGAACAGAAGATCATTTTATCATTTACTTGTGATACAAGAATTATTGGTTCACAACCTAGATGGAAATGAACAAACCATCGGAACGGTTGTAGTGTCAACGGTACGGTTGGTCTTGACTGATTAGTTGCACTAGTACGTTTATGTATTGAATAGGATTCCAGTGAGTAATAGTTTGTTTTGTACTGATTGTCGTAAACACACTTAAGTCTCAGTTAATTACTGCGTTTTCTTAACCCGTAAGATATAAATAGGCATGTACATATGGTAACTTTTACTTTGATTCACTAAAGTGAGATTAAGTTTACTGAGTCGACATACTTGCTGTTTTGGTTAATATTATTATATGTACGATGTGCTGTTAGAATATTTAGGTCAGCATGTGCGACAATTTGATGATGTCCCTGAAGTGAGTTCATGAAGGTTGTTATGCTAAACCTGCAGGTGGATTAAGTTGGGGATAATAATAATTCAATGAACGACGCTAGCTTTGATAATATAATATATTAATTAATTCTTGATTATCATTAATCGAATTAATTAATGCACATTATATCTTAAACATGGGGAGGTAAATCGAGTAACTATAATTGGAGTCTCAAATATAATTTGGGATTGAAAAAGGAGTCCAATAATATTATGTTAGTGGACCATAATATTATCTAAGTATTGGAAGAGTGGCTTGACTCACAGTTAGGCTCAATGCTTAGGAAGTCCTAATCCTGCTCTCTTTAGAATCCCTATTGTAGCTCTATATATACATCATTAAGCTCATGGGATTGAGAACACAAGCACCCTAATCGTGATACATGATCCGCCCCTCTCTCTCTTTAGTTCCCATAGTCGAGCTTTATCTTCGTGTTGTTGTTCCACCAATACAATACGAAGAGGTGTTTGAGATATACAATAGAAGATCTCGTGGTACCGAGACCCCGTGATCATCAACCGGTGATCAACCACATGACCGCCGGCCGACCACCGTCGACGCCACGAGCCGCGCAGTTTGCGCACGCCGACGCAAC